CAGGTGCAGAAGCAATAGCTCTTTTTAGATTGTGGAAACAGGTGATAGTTTCTTCAGTGAGATGAAATGGCTCACTCCTGAGGGCATCATAGAGTGGTTGCATGAGCTTTGATGTTTCGGGTATCCAGGACCTGCAGTATGTGATAAGACCCAAAAAGGCATGAAGAGTCTGATGTGTTGCAGGTAAAGGGAGTTGCAAAATAGCTTGTACACGTTGAGAAGTTAGATGTCTGGTGCCATGGGAAAGACAATGTCCCAAGAAGACCACAGAGGGCCGGCACCATTGTAGCTTGGATTTGGAAGCTTTGCAACCGGCTGCAGCGAGGAAACATAGGAGATCTTCTGAGTCACGTTCGGCAATGAGCGAATCAGGAGCACAGAGAAGGAGATCATCAACATATTGGAGCAGGACAACATCTGAGTGAGATTTCTGCCAGGGCTCCAGAACCAGAGACATGGCATGAGCAAACTGTGTGGGAGAATTCTGGGCCCCCTGAGGCATGACAGTCCAGGTGTATTGTTGTCCTTTGTGGGTGAAGGCGAAGAGAAAACGGCAGGAAGGGTCAAGGGGCACACTGAAAAAGGCATTGGCTAGATCCACTACAGTGAAAATTGTGGCAGTCGGTGGAACCTGGGACAAGAGAGTGTGTGGGTTTGGAACAATAGCAGTGTCCTTTACGGTTACTTCATTAACAGCACGGAGATCCTGCACCATTCGGTACTGGTCGGGTTGGCCTTTAACAGTTCTCTTTTTAACAGGGAAAAGTGGTGTGTTACATGGAGATGTGCACTTGATGAGGGCACCTTTGGCAAGTAGGCTTTCAACTTGTTTGGTGATAGCTTCAGCTTGTGCTGGCTTCAGAGGATACTGTGGCCTACGGGGAGGCAGTGCTCCAGGCAGGAGCTTGACCAATGGAAAAATTCACAGATCTGAAGAAACCCCTCAGATGTGTAAATGGTGTTTGGAGATTTTGTGAATAAATAATATCAACATTCAAAAATAATAATAATAGGTAGATATAACGGAAAAAGGTCAAAAAAACGATCAGTGCTTGACCAAGACTGAGGGCACATGCAAACGTCCGATATCATCCGGGCCGGTGGACCAAAGTTCTTGGGGGATACGATCCAGAGCACTGGGGGTTTGTGAGACCCGTGTATTCCCTGTATTGTCAGTTAGGTTCAACAAGATGGGGAGGGAACAGAGGACAGAGGTGTCTTTTTGTGATAAGGGAGTTGTTAACTCGACCTGACCATCAGCAGTAAAGGTAATGGATGCCTGGAGCCGAGAGAGAACATCAGCACCTAGGAGGTTAATGGGGCAAGTAGAGGAAACAACAAACCGGGAGTGAATGTGTGAACCTACATGCAGAAGTTTAGTAAGGGGGTTACTGCGGGGTGTACCATCCACCCCAACACAGGAGACATCGGTATCAGATAAGAAGGAAGGATCTGGCAGGTCTTGTTCCCTGAGAACACTACGGGCTGCACCTGTGTCGACTAGAAAGGTAGTTGGATGGCCCTCCATGGGGAGAACTACAGTAGCCAAGGGCCCTCCCCCATCCCCCGCAGACACTGCCATGGCAGGGGTTGCTGACACAGGCTTGCCAGTTACCTATTGTAATAAATCTAAATGGGCCTGATCTGGTCCCTGGTACCGGCGGGAAGTGGAGGGAGGGTGACTAGATTGCATGGGAGGGCGGGATGGACGATTAGTGTGGCGGGGCAGTGACTGACTCTCTTGGAAATCATCTGTGTCAAACCCTTCAGCGGGGGCCGAAGTGTATGCACGGGCGTCTGATGTAGGGAGCCGGGCTTGGGTGTATTCAGGAGGAGGAGGAGGAGGGGGAAGCTGAGGCAACTGTGGATGGGGCAGGGCAGGGAGATAACCAGTGGAGGGGAAACTAAAGCCGGTGACATGGGGACTTGGGTACCGGGGAGTCTGTGGGCGGATTACTCTAGGGTGTGGGCAATCTCTTCTGAAATGGCCGGGCTGATTACAGTTAAAACAGGTCCGGATTGTCGTGAGGGTCCGGTCCCGGGGAGAAGGGATAGATGCAGGCAGTGTCTGGGGTAACTGAGTGTATTGTTAGGGGAGTATCTGAGGAACTTGGTTAGGACTGACAATTGGTGCAGAAGTAGTATACATCAGAGGGCTAGTTCTTCGCTGTGTGGGTTGCAGAACAGATTCTAAACCCTTGGCTACCAGCAAAAGTGTGTCCAGTGGAATAATTCTGTACTCTGGGCGAGCTAAAATCAACCCCTTATGAATGTGTTCCCTAAGGCCTGCCACAAAGGCTGCAGATAACATTTGGGTGTGTGCTTTGTTATAGGTGCTGAACCCTAAGTCTGAGAAAGTCTGAGTCAATCTAGAGTGATACTTTTCAACAGTCTCAAGCTTATCCTGAATTATGTCATTTATGCAAGTAGCCTGATCTGCTAATTTATCCTGTGCCCAAGCTCGGAGCTGCTCACAGAAAATTTCACCAGAACGAAAATCTGTACCAGAAGTGAGTGGAGCGTCATTAAAGCTCCGTTCCATGATTGGCCAGTATGCATCTCCAGCCTTTATTTCACACAAACTTATAAGATCCCGCCAGGCAGCGGAATATGTTTTTCGAATTTGAGCCATCCTGCGGAAAAAGGGCATGGGGTGTTTCTCAGGATCTGGGAGTGAGGTCACAAGGGTAGCAGCTTGGGAAGGGTTGAAGGTAACATACATGGGTGGTGCACCATCCGCTCCATGGTTAATCTGGGTATAACCCTGGGGAATAGTGAGCCGTTGGGGGAGCCTGTTCCCCCCTGGGCGAGGTGAATCCTGTTCTACCACAACAATCTCCTCGGGTGCTACTGGGCCACGGTGCAGAGTAGTCTCAGGGGTAGCTGTGGCGGGGGCGGCAGGGAGGCCGGTGATGGGAGAGGTAGTTGGGTGGAAGCCCGAGGCTTGGGGGGAAGCACCCACTGCATAGGGTTGATCCGACGTCACAGACACTTCGGATCCAACCACCATGATTGGGCAACTAGAGCTGGCGGGAGAGACATGAGGGACCAATGCCATGGATGGGGTGGCTGTGGGGGCCGGCTGGGGTGGGCGTGAGAGGTGGGTGTTAAGGACATGAGCAAGAGCGGAGATTGGATCGGAAGGTTCGGGGAGGTTAGCGGGAGGCAAGAAGGGGTTGGAGGTCAGGGGGAGGAGGTGGAGGAGGAGGAGGTAAATCAGCGGGAGGCGGAGTAGGAATGGCGGAATTAACCAAGGAGGTAACAGCAGAGAAGAGGGCGGATATTGAGGTAGACAGGTCATTGGCCATGGTTGGGTCAGGGTCACCGGGGGAGGGGTCGGAAGGATGGGAACAGGGGGCTGGGTCGCAACAGCGTGGGTAGAGGGTAGGGACGGCAAATCAGCCGGGAGGGGAGGAGGCAACGAGGTAGAAGGGGCCGGGACATCGGGAGGAGGTACCACTGGAGAAGGGGTTGGAGGGGTGGGAACGGGGGGCTGGGTCAGGGCGGTAAGGGCAGAGATTAGGGACGGCAAATCAGCCCGAGAGGGGAGGGGATAACGAGGTAGAAGGGGCAGGGACATCGGGAGGAGGTAACACTGGAGAAGGGGTTGGAAGGGTGGGAACGGGGGGCTGGGTCAGGGCGGTAAGGGCAGAGATTAGGGACGGCAAATCAGCCGGGAGGGGAGGAGACAACGAGGTAGAGGGGGCCGGGACATCGGGAGGAGGTAACACTGGAGAAGGGGTTGGAGGGATGGGAACGGGGGGCTGGGTCAGGGCGGTAAGGGCAGAGATTAGGGACGGCAAATCAGCCAGGAGGGGAGGAGACAACGAGGTAGAGGGGGCCGGGACATCGGGAGGAGGTGGCGGTGTGTGGATAGCAGGAGGGTCCTGGAGGATGGGAGGGGTGCCTGGGAGTGTTGCGGGAGGATGGATTGAAGCAGAAAGGGCGGCTACTAGTGTTGCAAGATCAACGGGAGGGGAGGAGGTAGAGGGAGGGCCAGCTGTGGTGGTATATGAGGGAGCGGAGGCAGGGGGGCCGGGATCAGCGGCTGGACAAGATTCATGAGAGTGGAGAGTAGGGATGAGGGATCCTTAGAGGAGGAAGGAGAAGGGGAATGAGAAGGAGAAAAAGGCAGAGAGGATAATGGGGTAGGGGTCACGGGACAGGTCACTTTCGAAAGGCTAGCAAGGAAGGAGGAAAGGTCTGGGTCCGGGGGTATGGGAGAAGGGGGGTCTGTGGAGGAACAGGGGTCCGGAGGAATGGGGGCAGTGGGATGGACAAGGGTCGAGGGAGCAGAGTGTGAAGCAGTCGAGGGGGGGTAAGGGAGCGGGTGTCACTGGTGATGGGGTACTCGAGGTGGAGAGGGAATGAGAGGAGGAGGAGGAAACGTCGGTGGATGAGGCGGGAGCGGTCAGGACGGGATCTTGGCGAGGTTTTGGAGTAGAAGCAGGCACTGGGAGAGGTGGCGGAGGACATGGAGGCGGGGGAACATCAACAGACGTAACAGGAGAAGGGTTGATGGAGGGGGCTGGGTCAAAGGGAGGTTGGTGCATGGGAGTGGGTGGGAACGAATGAAGTGGCACTGGATAGTAGTAAGCACCGTCTGCACCGAGTACGGGGCACAGGGGGGTGGGAGCTGAAGGCACACCCCCGGGGGGTGGGGTCTGTGCTGTGACGGGGGAAGCAGGGCGGGAATTTACTGTTGCGCTCTGGGCGCCATCATAGGGCGGTGGCCGCGGGACAATGGAAACAACATCATCATTGTTAACACTCCTATGGTATACGTACACAGTTTGCCCTTCAAAATCCAACTCTTCCTCGACCCACCCTTCCCGTTTCAGACCTCTAGCTACCCGATACCAAGCCTCTGCAACTTTTTTGTGAGCCCATTATCCAACAACAACCCTTCCTTGTCTATGAGTAACTTCCTCCAAAACTCAGGTTGCAATCTCCCACTGGGTGGCACCTGGAAGCCACACACCTTAGCAATCTTTCTAAGTTTCAACATTGCATCTTCCCCTGCCCTTTCTTTCACAATATCACAAGCCAACAAGCCCTTAGCAGGTCTAGCATGTTCCTGCCCCATCTTGAATAATTGGAGTGAGCCACGTGTTAGAGACAGATATACAGAGAAGATACAGGGGAGAAGGAAGAGGAATGTCTACAGTGCTCGACTGCCACGAGGACTTGGGTCCCGTGCGTCTTCCCAAAATGTAGACTAGTCACGGGGGTCCGCCCATCCGGGGTGGCGGTCACGGACCGGAGCGAGCGAGCGTGGGTGACTAACACAGCTCTGGGCAACAGACACAGGAGAGATAAAGGACAAAAGAGAAGATGAACGTGGCTACGCTAACGAGAAGACATTTGCAAAAGTCACAAACATAGAGATGAGCGTAAACCTTGGAATCCAGAACCAGCCACACTATACACACACACACCCCAAGGGTACCCACACTGTAACAACAATTGAACAAAAACCACAGAATGACAGAGAGTAAAATGGCCATGTACATGTTAACACCACTGGCACCAGATATTTAAAATGTGGCAATCCCCAGCCCTCCCCCACCAGGCTGGTCCCAATTATAACACAAGTACCAATGAAACACTGCAATAATCAAACAAAATCCCAGCCCCACCGGCTGTAATGCGTTCCCTGCCCGCTAGGCAGTCAAGCTAACATAAAATCCCAGCCCCACCGGCTGTAATGCGTTCCCTGCCCGCTAGGCAGTCAAGCTAACATAAAATCCCAGCCCCACCGGCTGTAATGCGTTCCCTGCCCGCTAGGCAGTCAAGCTAACATAAAATCCCAGCCCCACCGGCTGTAATGCGTTCCCTGCCCGCTAGGCAGTCAAGCTAACATCTTTTAAAAAGGGGAAAACACACACACCGGCCGTCACACACATTTAAACGAATACAGGAGGCAGATAGACAATCGACAGGTTCACTTTAAAAAGGCACACCGGATGAGCTAATTACCTGTCTCTAGTAGCCTTCTGGAAGCCGGAAGTGGACTCGGAGACAGACCGACACAAAACAGGAGAATAACACAGGCAACGGCTGTATTATGGAGGTGATCAGGCTCCGCTTGTCCAACTTTCCGGAGGTCCGCTCCGGTCCGTTGGTTCCGGCCCTCCGAACCGGCCCTCCGGTGTGCCCCACGTTGGGCGCCAATTGAAATGGAAAAATCAATCAAGGTATTGATTATTTCTTTGTGTATCTGCCCCTGGCCAAATCAATGAAACAATGCGTGCACGCTCCCTGAAGTAATTCACACCAGACACAGGTTCCAGGTTGTGAAACAATACACTATCTGCACAACCAGTGTGTAATAGTGAAAATGTGTAGCGCAATAATATTAACTTACTCCCCAGAGTTCTTAGGGGTGTAGAAAGTATTGTATAGGTAGTCCAGAGCCTATTAGGAATTTGGCTCAAATCTCTCTTGTCTTGTATCTTTAAGGTTGCATACACCCCTTGAGTCCAAATGGAATATACTCCTCAAAAACAAAGAGAGGGAGAACAGGGAAAACTCGCCCTGGTGTTGAGATCCTTAAAACAGCAATATATAAACATGCATATAATGGTGAAGGTTGCTTCTCACCTGAATTAGAGCCTATGACTTGGCTCTAAGTAAATAGGCATATGAGTCCTTTTGGGATGACTCCTTCCCTCTTTAGCAGGATGGAAGATGCACCAGATATACGTGTATTGAATAAAAGGTAATATTTATTACATTCACTTTAAAATAAATATGATACATACAGTATATAGGTGAGTCCAAAACGCGTTTCGCCGATTCCGTTCGGCTTTCTCAATTGGTAATTTCCATCCTGTCTAGTTCCTGGTTAAAATCCCCGCCTTCCGTCCTGATTGGTGGCCACAGATCAGACGTCAACCAATCACGGACGTCCTTGCAGGGGAGGGTCTAATAATCCAGCTGTAATGCTATATCCCTTGACGGTGACGTCATCGCGCACGTGCGTGTAATCGCGCGGGTGACGTCACTTCCGGGAATATGAAAAAGTAGTATTTGCTCCGGTCTCTCTTCTTTTAGCTCCGCTGACGTCACTTCCCATTTCGAAAGATTGCAAAAGGTGTCCCAACTCCTCCTCCAGTTCATTCTAACAAATTCATTTTGATTAATAGCAGGAAGTACTGGCATTCACAGTTCAATCCAATCCAGCAAATTATTGGTAAAAAGAGTATTGATACTCAAAGTAGTGACCACAGTTTTGTTTCAAATCTTCAGTCCTGAGGCAAATATGCTCACATTTGAGCATTTAAACATAAACAATAAAGTGCATTAATTAGTTTAAATATTTCTCAAGGAGGTAATGTAACAGAGAAGTATATACATAAAAGACACATGCATTAAGTTACAGTGCAAGGTATTAATGATGTTTCAGCCAAATAGAAAAATTTATAAATATATATATATATATATATATAAAAAATATATTATATAAAAAAAGTTATAAATAAATGTCCTTAAAATATGTTAAAAAATCATAAAAAATGGCATAATTCAAAATCATCATTAAGACCATAAGGTTGCATAGTGTTTAAATTAAAAATCCATCTCATCTCTGTTTGTCCAATTAATTTAATAGGATCACCACCTCTCCAATTTCCGACTATTTTCTGAATTCCCATAAACGTCATTAATTGTGGATTGCTATTATGATGGTTCTTAAAGTGCAAAGATACACTATGGTTAAGGAATCCTTTTCTGATATTCCTAATATGTTCTTGGATTCTAGTGTTTAGGGTCCTATTAGTTCTTCCTACATAGGCTAACCCGCAGGGACATGTGATCATATAAATTACTTTAGTTGTATGGCAAGTAATTATTTGTTTGATCTTGAATATTTTCTTTTTTTCTTGTGGATGACAGAAGCATGCTCCACACATGCCACATCCATAAAAGCCAGTTTTTTCTTTAAAAAATTGGTCTGTCAATTTCCTTGAGGGTATATGATTCTTTATTAGAGTCCTTTTGAGATTTGGCACACCTCTATACACTACATCTGGTTGATCTGGAAGTATTGAATTTAATATGGGGTCATTTTTTAATAGGGGCCAATATTTTCGAATAATCTTCTTCAAGCGCCCACTATTATGGTTAAAATCACAGATAAATTTCAAATTTTGTGGTTCTGTGTTCTCTTTCGTTCCTTTATATTCTATTAAGTGTGTCCTATCCTCGTTCTCCACTTCAAAAAGGGCTTTCTCTAAAAGTTCATCTTTGTATCCCTTTTCTCTAAAATCTTTAATTATTTTCTCTGATTGCTCTTGAAATTTACATTGGTCTGTACAATTTCTTTTCATCCTAAGTAGTTGCGCTTTAGGAGCGTTTAGCAGCCAAGGGGAGAAGTGACAACTACTCTCCCCTATATAGCTGTTCACATCTACCTTCTTAAAATGAGTACAGGTTTTGAGCATATTTTGTTCGACATAAATATTAAGATCTAAGAATTCTACAGAACTTTTATTGAAATTACTGGTGAGTTTAATACCCCATTCATTATTATTAAGATGGTTTAAAAATAACATCAGTGACTCTTCATCTCCATCCCAAATGAAAAATATGTCATCTATGTAACGACGATAGGCCACGAGGTTCGCATCCCATCTACGATCACCATGGATGAATTCCTCCTCCCAGTGTGCCATGAATAGATTTGCGTAGCTGGGCGCGAACCTCGTGCCCATCGCCGTTCCACAAATTTGTAAAAAAAATTGCTCACCATACCAAAAATAATTATTGGTTAAAATCCAGTTTATCCCCTCTATAATAAAATCTATTTGTTTCTGTGGGAATCTTTTGGAAATTTCTAAAAAGTGCTTTGTTGCTTCACAGCCTTTCGTATGGGAAAAAAAACAGGTTCCAGGTTGTTGAATAACTTGAGGAATGTTTATTCAGAGGGGACGGCAGGTCCCTTTTAAAGCAAAATTACATCATAAGCATTGTCAGAGATAACATGGAATAATACATCAATTATTGGTTAGGTGTTAAGTGGTCATTCTAATGCTCTGCCTACTGGGGGTGATGTCACCAGGGCCATGAAGGTCTCCCACGGTTTTCCGGCGCCATCTTGCTGCACGAGGTAGTTAGTCGGTGTTAAAGGGAGGGGGAGGAAAGGAGGGGTTAGAAGCTTCTAGCAGCCATCTTGATTAAAACGTGTGCATAGCTTATATTGTATATAGTGAAATGAGTAAATAGACATTTTCATTAACTAGGAAATATGTGCAGACCTTATTTCCACAACAGCTTTATATTTACTTAAGTTCTGCATGTTGGGCATCTACAGAAATCCTGACAGCTTCATCATCCAGTGTTTTCCTACCTATGTCTCCAGGTCCCAGGACTGTGGGGTCCATTAGCACTCCTTTGCCTTTTGATCTGGGCCTAGGGGTGTCCAGTAATTTTGAGGGCGACATGCCAGGGCTATCATTGCCAGTTTCTGCATGAGCGTCTGGGGGGGTACGTCCTCTGTTCTCTTGCATTCGCTTGCTCCATTCTCTCCTACGCACCAGACTGTTAGTGGGTCCAATGCCACGCCACTGTCTTCGGCTGCTTGCATGGGTGGCCCCTACGCATCAGGGTCTAACATCACTGACATGCACGCTCCCTTTGGGGTAGATGCACCAAGCAGCGCTTCTATCTCTAATTTCAACCCTGTTAACCCTACATTCACTACTGATCCTACTTCTTCTCAAGCCTCTACTTCTACTGATCCATTCGCCGCTGTGTCCTCTGCCCTTGGAGCTCCCATCTTAGCTTCTGTTTTGCAGGAGGTACTGAGAAACATGGAACATACCTCCCCTCGCAACGTATCCAGGCGGTCTGCAGGTCAAGTTACGTTACCACAGAGGACTGATACAGCTTGCCCCATTCCTCCAGTGGCTGGATCATCTCAGGCGGGAGTTGCTGTTCCTCCGGACACGGGATTGCAGGTGGCTGCGCCAGTCAGTGAGTCTTTTCCTCCTACACTTGCAAGTTTAGACCTATCCATTTCATCTGACGACTCCGGGTTGGAGGATGAAGGCGTGTTAATCTTTCCTCTAAGGGTCAGAAATTGATGTTTCACATGCTCAGGAAATTATTGATAACACAAGGAAGGGGGGGTCACTCAGGCGTTGTGGGCGGATCTGTCCTGCACTCAGCACCGCTGAATTCCCCCTCCTCTTCACTTGGCCAAGAGTTGTTGCTGTGCAGGGCAGC